AACTCGACCAGTGAGATATGAGCGGAACCATTCTAAGCTTTTCCCTGCTACTCCTAGTGACTTGAGTTTGTTGATGAGGAGCACTGGATGATCGACAGTGTCGAACGCCTTGCGAAGGTCCAGGAACACTGTTCCCGTCACGCATCCTTTGTCCATATTTTCTAGGACTTGATCTGTAAAGTCGATTAGGGCAGTGGAAGTTGAACGCTTTAGTCAGAAGCCAAACTGTGATTGTGATAATAGTCTGTTTACTTCCAAAAATTAACTTAACTGAATATGCACTGATCTCTCTATGATCTTGCTTATAGTTGGTAAGATTGATATTGGTCGATAGTTGTCCTTTATTGACTTATCTCCATCTTTAAATAATGCAATGACTTTTGCACACTTCCAGACCCTTGGAAATACTCCATCACTGAAGGATTTATTGATCAAACCAGTTAGTGACTGGTCAGGTGATCACTGATGGGATAAATATTAGCACTGTTGACCTTCAAAGATCTCGTCGAACAATGTCAGTTATTACGCAGAATCCTGTTCTGTTTACCAGCTCATTGCGCATGAACTTGGATCCTTTCGAGGAGCACGACAACAGGGATCTCTGGAATGCATTGGAAAAAGCGAATTTGAAGAACATGGTGGAAATGTTGCCGCGACAGTTACACAAGGAGATTTGCGAATGCGGAGCAAACTTTAGTGTCAGTGAAAGACAACTACTGTGCTTGGCCCGCACTTCATTAAAGAAAAACAACAAAATTGTGATGGATGAAGCAACAGCAAACGTCGATTGGAAAACTGATCAGGTGATTCAAGAGACAATACGCAAAACATTTAAACGTTGTACCGTGATAACAATTGCACATCGATTGAGCACTACAATACCTGCGATCGAGTTTTAGTCTTAGAAAACGGGCAAGTTGTTGAATATGACAAACCGGGAAATTTACTGCATAATGATTGTAGCCAGTTTTCGAGACTCTATCATGGCCTAGAGAGCAGACTATGAAACGAAGCAAGAATTTTAACTCAACAACCGAAAAAAGTAGTCTTTCAATATCACAAACTGAGGTAAACTTTCATTTGTGATTGGGACGCACATGCATTAAATCGGACTTATTGCTTGTCTGCATGTATTACAAATAGTAAAATCATTCCTACTGTTGCAATAATGCGATTGGCATACCACACATTAAGCTCCCAGGGCCCGCCATTACTGTGCAAAGGCTAACAGTTTTGCAATTTCTTGGAGGTTCTGGGCGCGCAGTGATGAGAACATTCGTATGTATCCTATCAATTGTCCGTTTCATACAATCACTGAAACAGACAAGCCAAGCTTAATGTTTTACAAAATATTCTGGTTTTATCAACTGCATTGTTATTGTTAATTGGCCACTGTGAAGAGTTTCTAAAGCTGATGTTTCAAGCATTAGCCCTTTATTAACTCAGTTGATAAAAGCAAATTGACTCATAATACCCCCCTCCCCACCAATGAAGCACCATAGTTTCTTTACCCCCCTCCCCACCAATGCAGCACCGTAGTTTCTTTACCCCCACACCACTGATGCAACACCATAGTTTCTTTACCCCCCTCCCCACCAATGCAGCACCATAGTTTCTTTACCCCCCTCCCCACCAATGCAGCACCATAGTTTCTTTAACCCCCACCACTGATGCAGCACCAAATTTTCATTACCCTCCCCACCACCGATGCAGTACCATAGTTTCTTAAAAAAAACTTACCCCTTTGAATTTTTTACGAAAGGTTTGACAAATTGACAAATTTTTTTTCCACCTTAATAAGGATTCATTTTGAGCCAGCCCAATATATAAATCCCATATTGCATTATATATCCTATTTATCCACTTGTCAAAGGCTAATCAGGAATGAGGAATTTTATTTGGTGTGTAATAGGATGATTTACATAACAGCCAACCTTGAATTTTTTAAATCTCTTTTCATCTATTTACACGATGTAAAATGGTTTTTTCTTTTTTTTTTTTTTTTAAGTTAAAACTTTAAGGGAATACTAGGCCAAAAAACAGGTTGTCTTGCATCACACTGTCTGTCATAATTCAGCTGAAGTGATGCCTCAAGAGCCATGATCTTGGAGGCATGTTTTCCATAGAGTGTTTTCATCTCCTCTTTTCTCTTTAAACCCGGCTGTTCTGTTGGAGCACTAGTGGTAGTATTCAAATGGACTGAGCCAACTGATTTATGAAAAAAAAGGATGACTAGATTAAAAAGTGGAACAAATTATTCCAATGTGGGAGATGGTGAAGCCTAATATTTAGTGCACTGTTTTCATGGTCAAGACTTTTGGGCTCTAGAATTGACCATGTCATTGTGCTGTGTTCTTGGGCAAGGCACTCTGTTAACACTCTGAATGGGTGCAATCTTTTTTCTAGCCACCCTTCCCATCTTCTTTTTGCCAGCCTACCTGCATTCCTCCATGCTAATGTGAGTCATTGCTCAATCCTCTGTGAAAACAGGGAGGAAGGACAAACAACTCACCACAACATGCAGGAATGTGAGCAGGTCAACACAAAAAAAGTGAGAATGGTTGTTGAGACAAATTATGGCCCCCTCCATGGGTAAGTGATTTTTTAAGTAATACTCACCAAGCCTCTCACCACCAAAGAATGCAATTGGATTCTAGGAAACTGTCTAAAGCCTGACAAATTATGTGGTAATTACTTTTATTACATCCAATTTGAAATCACATGTAATCCTTGCAATCTGATTGACTCTAACCAGTGCAATTCATTAACAAATTGCAACATTTTATGCTATAAATCGCATCTTATCCCCAGCCAATGAGATAGCTTTACTTGAACACTAGAACCAATCAAATTTCAAGGCTTGTTTAAAGAAATCAATCAAATTGCAGGAAAATGGAAGACACCTTTTGCAATTTTTTTACAAACCAGCACAACATATAGGATCAATAAACTATTGGTAGTGACTACAAAAAACTTGTATTGACTGAATCAATTTTGCGATTTCAAAATAGATGTAATAAAGTGGTTATTGTACTTCATTGATCTGAAATCATACTTGTAATTGCAAATCAAACTTGCCCTGTGCACATGTTTGATTTTGAAACCATGAATATGATTTCAGACCAAATTGCACTATGTTCAGTTCAATTACCATTATATATCAATTACTGAGCTATTTCCAGAGATGCATGCAGTAAAGAAAATGGTTAAAATTTGTCAAAATTATTGAATCTGCTAAGCTGATTTCACTTTGACAACTTTGATAAAAAATTAACCAAAATCTTCAAATCTACCATTTTCATTACTGCGGGCATTTCTGCATTTCTCAACATAAGTGCTACTTCACAAAGTCAGATAAGCTCCTACAAATTGCGCCACTTGGCGCACTTCTTCACTTTGTAGACTTGACATGACGTAATCTTTTACATGCGTCTATGAATGATCAGTATACACTCACCTTCAATGTAATCATCATTCTCTTCCAATAGTTCTTGCTTCCCTAGAAAATAGCCAGACAATATGAAATTAAGAAAGAAAGTGGCAATATCTCCAGTCACTTCATGCCAAAGAAACCAGAATAAGTTGGATGTTCAATTTGCCTCCTGTGCAGACTTGAATTTTATCATTCTAGTTGGAATGTCTTTTGTCAACCCAGGGATGTACCTAAAGTTTTTGACTGGCGGGAATCTTGCAATGATAGGCGGGTATTTGGGCCGAAGGCCCACTCTAGCATGCCTTTGGCACACTATACCTAGATTTGAAGCTGAAAACAAATGAAATAAATAAATAACAATCATCTGACAACATTTAAAAACATTTTGGAGAAAGAAGTAGTGCTTCACAGCCAGAAAGATTGTGTTCACAGCCAGGTAATTTTCCCGGCTTCCAGCTATTATCTACATCCCTGCAACCAATGTTTCATCATGTTTTATGCACAGTTTAAAGAGGGGAGGCAATGAGGGAATGGGAAAGAGGCACTGTGGGAGTAGGGGGGAGGCAGTGTGGGAGAATACATAGAAGGGAGCCAAAGTGGGAGTGGGTGGAAGGTAATGTGGGAGTAGGGGGGAGGCAACATATTGACAAAAAAATTCTTGTCGCAATATCAATACCTTATCCAGCAAAAAGGTAAAACAAAATTGGACAAATATGTAAGCCTAAGTGTCTCATCTTGATTTAAAACAAATTCTCTTTAAAAAAATCATACAAGGACAGGAAAGATCACTAAAGGGGATAGATTTCAAACACATCTTAGAAACCAAAGGAAAACAAAAAACTAACTCTGCTCTCGCTCTTGTCTGTGTCTCTCAGATTGTTCCAAAAACTTCCTGAAGTTTTCATCAACTTCCATTTCAACATCACTGCTCTCATCGCTATCATCATCATCTTCATTGACATCATCAGTACCACAGCCATCATTCACACTGTTACTATATGCACCTTTACTACTACCAGATATAAGATCTCCCTTGAAAATTAAGTCAGGGTGATTTTCACCACCCACTGAATGTTCGCCTTGTGATCGTGGCCATGGTGTTCCACGAAAATAAATTGATTCTGCACAATCTCCGCACGGGTACATTTGACCTTTCCGAGTCTCTAATCCACTTTGATTCTGGCAGCATTCACACTCATCTTCCACGATCGCACTCTGCTCCACACACTCACAGTTCTGATCTTGTACCTGAGCATGTAAATTATACAAGTACATGTTCCACCACCAGAGCGACATTTGATAACAATAGTTTGCATTTACTAAGGCACATGAAGCGAAACCCTCGTTTCTCAAATTATGATTTTTTCCATTATCATGCTCATGACTGTTTTTATCATCCGGTACATTTGCCATCACTCCTAATGACTACCACGCGAATAAGATGGATGATACTCAAAATTTGCCTCACATCTCGACCGCCATTTTGACAAAAGCTATTCTTCCTTGGTCTTGTGGGAAATTCGAGTACGCTGTATTCTGGCCAGCGGGTTATACAAACATAAATAAAATGGCCGCTCAGAGTTCACACGTGTGCGACTTTGAAGGATGCGGAAAAACGTTTGGTAAGGAGATCCGACTGGTTGAACACAAGCGGATGCATACGGGGGAGGTATAAAAACTCTTTTTGTTTTCTTTTTTCAAAGAAGATGGTTAAATTACCACAGGATACAGATAAATCACGAGAATACTTAGCGCGAACAATTGGAACGTTTTGGGTACGTTTCGCGCGCATTAATTAGATCATGAAAACAACATTTTTAGATTTGATTTTTGCCTAGTTACCTGGATTGATGAAATTTTTTCCTTTTAATTTAAAATGACTTTTATTTAAGGCCCATGGAATTTTTTTTAAAATCGGATCTCTGTGAAAATTAAAGCTGTCTTTCCAATCTTAGAATATATCGTAATTTGTTGGCGATTAGTTGCTTTTTTACCGTCTACTGATCTAATGTCGTTGAAATTTGAATGCAGGGATATCCATAAGCCACTCAATTTGATATGATGATACTGCAAAACCCTGCTGCTTCTTATGTTACTAACGAGAATGTGATGTGTAAAGAAACAATATCTGCCCTTTGATAGTTTCCAGATTCTCAACACCCCCCTATTCACGTTATATTAATACTGTTAGGAGGACTTGTTTCTTTTTTTCTCCTGGGAGTGAAAGGGTTGAGGAGACAATTGCTGGACTATATTGCAAGGGTCTGCTTATTCATCTAAGCCGGTGGCAGATTCTCACCTTACAGTTTTCTTAAAATATGTATAATTTCAGAGACCATGTGTATGCCCCCATGAAGGATGTGACAAATCATTTGTGAGATCTGTGCATTTAAAAAGGCACTTGTTATCACATGATGGAGAAAAATTATTCAAGTAAGTTCCTAAATTAGAAGTGCAGAATAGGCAAGTTTTGGGAAATCCAAAGACACTTAAATTTTACCAATTAAAATGAAACAATGGTAACTTGTTGGAATTGATATAAGTATACTTAGTTCTGAAACATGAACTGAAGAGTTGTGATAGTTTGAAGGGGAAGTTTTAAAGGGGTGAATTGTATAATGGGTGAACTGGTTTGTTTGTATTCTAAGCAGCATAATGAAACTTTTCTGATGAATCTCTGCAGTAAACCTTATCATAGTCAAAGTAACAGAATGGAAAAAATGTGGTGCTTTGACTGAAAGCCTTTCAAGAAGGGTTGGATTGTAGTGACTGACAGAAGACAAACTTAAATCACTTTTACTAGGTGACAAGCAGGGACTTACCATCCCAATCTATAGTTACTTTCTTTGAAGGGAATTTATAATATAGTCACTTGCATTTGAGAATGATAGCAAGGGGAAATATATGTAAATAAAGAGCTACTCACAAGTATAAGTGTTTTGGTTGTCTTAGATGCAGCCAATGTGATATGTTGTTTATAACAAAACACAATTCCAAGCGCCATGAACAGCGGGCTCATAATGGGCCCTTTAAGGTAAGTTGGTATCAAGCTTTGCATTTCAATCATGATGCAGTAGGGAAGCATGCCTCCAATAGTCACCATCTTTTATCACTGACAGATGTATACTAAGTTATTCCAATTATTTGAAAAACCCTGTTAAAGCATTCTGTAGGTAAGCCCTGTCAACAAGAGGAATTTAATTTCATGACAATAATGAGTTGGTGCAATCAGATCTGTACTATACTGGGATAAATCAATTAGACACATGGTAGCAAACAATGTGGGCAATTTCAACACAACTTCATTTCACTAATCACTCTGGGTGCTTGTACAATTTACTGAGCATTATAGTAGTGCAGAGAATGGGATTAAGTCTTCACAGAACGCAAGCTTATCCCAGTCATCTCCTTTTGGCAGATAGGATCTTTGAATTTTTCCAAGCATTATTTTAGACTTACCTAATAGTTTCTTTTTTTTTGCCAGCACTTACTTTATATTTGAAAGTCAAAATGGTTTATACCTATTGCCATAAACTATAAGAGATTGGGCAATAATTTTTAGGAAATCAAGTAGCTTTCCTCTGAAATTGTTTTTTTTTAAGTTTCATAACATATTTGCTTATGTCTGTTATTTTCTTAGTGCAATGTTGATGGTTGTGATGAACAATTTACTAAGTGTAACCAACTGAAAATTCATCAGCTGGTTCATACTTGTGAAAAGCCCTTTAAGTAAGTAGACCAAATGTCATTTCACAATTTTTTAAGGAAATATATATATTTTTTGACTTGTGGATGAAAATCAAGTAAAGCAATAACCCTTGCAGGTGGATTACAATTCAAGCAGAAAATTTATTGCAGAAAAGAAGCCTGGAAAAAAAAGGGCTTTTAGGTGACTCCAACCTGTGCCTGCCAGATACCAGTTGAGTGCCATTACCCACTTACTTGACCTAAAAAGCCAGAAGCTGGGTGTGAGGCAAATTTTTTTAGAGAGCTCATCTTGCCCATAAAGATGAACCCTCTTAAGGAAGAAATGTTGTTTTGGTGTTATATTCTGTTTTCTAACTATTACATTATTGTTTCAGGTGTAAAGAGCGAGGTTGTTTGGCATGTTTTAATGCTCCAGGGAAACTGAGACGGCACCAAAAACGACATGATAAAGGTAAAGGTATATGTAAGGGTTGTTGTAACCAAAATGCAGAGATGCAAAACTTTGTTATTTTGTGATTTTTTTTTTTTTATTATTATTTGTCTTTGAAAGTAGGAATTATCACTTTAAAGTTATGTAAGATCCAAGTATTGAAGTTATCACAGGCTGGAGTATTATGGGTTGAGAATTCTCTATTACCCTTGGATCAACACTAGTTCTTCCTCCTTATTCTCATACTTTGGTTGGACACAGTTTTACTGCCTATGGCAACAATTGGTCGTGTGAGCCCTGTTTAAACCTGTATTCCTTTTCAAGGCTCTGATTTCTGCAACTGAGTTACTTTGGCACTCTACTTTTAAAGAAAAACTGTCTTTGACTGCATTTGTTGTTTTCTTACAGGCTCAGTGCCCTTCTTTCCAAGGTACAGGGATGATGCTTTTGCCCATGACTGGCTGCGGAAACATGTTTGTTCTCACAAATGCATTCTTTTCTGTGAGGGATAAAGTATGCAAATGTCTCTAGTAGGACAATTGTTTGGGTTTAAGGCCTTTGTGGCTTCACAGAGACTTGTACATAGTTTCCTTTGTTGCTCTAGGAAAACTTTCTCTGAGTGCCTTTCAACAGAATGTGTCAATCAGTACAAAGCTTCAACATCATCCCCCCCTCCCTGGGTAACCCCACTGGGTGTTTGAACTTCTGAAGATTGGTTTGTTCAAATTCCCATATTCCTTGTCAAAAAAAAAAAAAGACATTTTATTCCATTGGAAGGACTTTACAATTCTGGTTCAAATTCCCTGCCTCACCCGGGTAACATTCAAATACCCCACCCTTGAGAATGCCTTTTTTTCAAATGTCTACTTCTTGGGCACAGACTATAGTCAAGTGCCCGAGGGAGGCTGGGGGGGGGAGGTATGTTGAAGCATTGAATTGATTGGCACAACAAAATCAAGAAAAAAATAAAATTTTAACCTCCAACCAATACCAGTGATTTTTACCATTATGTGGAAAGCTCATTAAAGTGCTGCAATAGTTGTGAGGAATAACACTCTATTCTACTTCCAGGTTTAATTTTATTGTGTGCTGCAATTTGCACATTTCTAATATATTTTGCAAGTTAAAGAGTCACTATTGATATCACTAAAATGTTATATCATGAATTGGGTTCATTTGAGTTCAACAAAACTAAGGGCATTGTAATTCCCAGAGACACCTGCCATTATAAATCATGGTCATTCTGAAAATTTTTATGCTTCATTTAAATTACTTCCCATGGAAAATTTGACTTGTACTATGTACATTTTACTGAATTTCTTCACATGTCAAGTACCCTGTGAGACATTTGTTCCCTATAAGCTATTTTAGAAGCCTGCGGAGGAGGCATAATTTTGGCAAGCAATTGAGTGCTAAGTATTTTCTTGGTGTACTTTATAGCAGCCATCTTTTGATTTTTATGGCAGCAGAAGGCTGGGGAGAGAAAGAAATTTGTATCAAGGGGGTGAATGATGGTCAAAGTGAAAGAAAGGGGAGGGGGAGGGGCTTTTACCCAACCCTCTCCCCCATGGTCTACTCGAACTCTAAAGCAAACATGGCTGGTTGAAGAAATTATTCCAAGCTCATAACAATAACTAGCCTGAATAAGACAGTATAATAAGATGCCAGGTTGTGTTTGACATCACGTCAAAGATTTGTACATTTGATTATAGTTACAAACTAAGTACAACATTATTATTGAATCATTGTCTTGCAGGGTACTAGCAAGGCTCTGTTCTAAGAGCTTCATGTAATTCATGCATTATGGTGTCAGCTAAGATATGCCAGTTTTAAGTTTCACTCACAGTTTTGTTTGCTCTGATACTGAATGAGGTATCTGATATTTTATGTTTTCTGCCAATCAGTCTACAAATAACTACAATTATGAATATAATTAAAGTTTTATGTATTAACTGTACAGCTGTGTTGTGATTTATTTTTTTCCTAATATTAAAATACCTCTGATTGTGATCATTTTGGCCAAACAATGTAAAAACCAGCATGAAGATTTTTAAAATATGGCATTAAGTAGACGAATATGTCTTCAAAAAGTACATCGGTGGCAGTTATTCTTACTTATTATAATGTGTACTATAAAATTTCAAATATTTTGTTATCACCAACAAGTTAAGTTCACTAGAAATAAAATGTGAAAGAAGTAAGTCTGTTTTTCTGAGACTACTTCAGCTGGAAGAATTTTTCCCAGTAGATTTAACAGACTCCATTCCTTATTCTCAGTGTCTTGCAATTGGATACTTATCTAGTGAGAACCATGATTTTTCCAATGAATCAGAGGCAATGTGCCAGTTCTTCAAAAGACATAGCTATCCTGCCTTGAGCAGGACATCACTGCACCCAACAATTTCATCGACAGTCATGAGACTGATCGAATTCCATTCACACTCACATTTCATTTTACCCTCGCAATAATTCTAAAAAAGATTTTAACTACTTTAAAATGATCCCGAAACTGGTATTAATGCACCTATCATCGGCCATCCCCTGGGGGGGGACCCCGGGCAAGGGTGGGGACTTTGTAAAGGACCCTGTCAAAGTTCTTATTTTCCCCCTCCTAGGTGGGGACACAGAGGAATCAAAGCCCCTTGAGGGGAATCACCTTGAGCAGCTTGAAACCTGACAAGAAAACAGTACTTTATACCCTTAACGAAATGTCATGTTTTAATAGTGCTTACATGTTCGTAACAATGCAAATTTCAATGTACTGCTAGATACAATTACACAAAAAAATGTTAACCAAAATACAGTGTAATACTGTAATAATGTAATAATAATGGATTTACATTACAATACCTGCGCCATCCGCCGAGGTCGCCATCACAAACACGAGAAAGGTGGACCACGTTCTTCTGCACAGCGGTCTTTATGTTTTTCATTTAAGACAACTTGAAATTGACCTGTTTCGTTTGCAAAGTCCCCTGTTTTCCCCGCGGTGCATTTTAAAACAAACCCCCCTCATTTCCCCCGCCTCCAGGGTAAGTTAATCGTTCAAATCCCCGTATAAGTCCCCATTCAACGTTGAATTTGCCCGGGGTCCCCCCCCAGGGGATGGCCGATGATAGATGCATAATAATATTTTCTTGTTTTTCATGTTACCATGTTCCATATGGGACATATTATTGAGCCTACGAATATAAATAGGTTTCCAGCGGCTTCCCAAGTGACACGCGAAGCAAAATGGCGGTTGAACTTCCTTCTCTTCGTTCACTGCAAGACTTCGTTACTGACGCCCAGTTTACTGCTCCAACATTTCGCGACAGGGATAGAATGGAGAACAGGATGATCAATAACCTCATATATTATCAGACCAACTACTTCATTTGTGCAATTCTAATTGTCATTGTGGTCGGGTGAGCTAAGTTAATGTGCCTCTCTGCTAATGTGTAATAGGAAAGCTTTACTGAAGTAGTTGACTGTTCATCTCCGGACAATCAACCTTCCAAGGCATTAGGATTTTGCATCTGTACATTTAAGCATATCTTGCTACAATCCCATTAGTATAAAACGAGATGGTAACAAGAACGACTTACTTGGTGGAAGAAAAGAGTGTTTTGAATTGTTGACCCAAAACTGAACGAGACATACCATGTTTCCAGTAACTGTACTCCCTTATGGATGGCCAACCTTCGACACAGTCATTTTTTTGTCGTTGACACCTTTAAAAATTGCAGTAGAGGAGTTCAAAATTCGTTGGCTTCTTTGGATCAGTGGTATTTTCCTTCCGTAAAATTTTTTAAATCAAATGCGTGTTATTAATTAGGACAATAATATCACCATCTGAACAATTTTGTCTCCGAAAAATTATTTTTAAATAAGCTTATTAAGACTTTATTACCGTATTTTTAACTTTACCTGAGGCCAGGTTCTGTTATGATCCAAAGCTTTTATTATGTTATGATAACTGCATAAAGTTATTAAACCTGCCCCACTATTTTCCGATTGGTACCCTCCCTCTTTAAGACTTGGTGAACCTTTTACTGAGCTACTAACTGTCTTTTTACAACTTGTACTCAGTCAATGGGACAGTGTAAAGTTGTTTAGAATTAGAGAAACATAGAAGGTTGAAGGCATCAATTACTTCGGTGAGAAAACGTCAATGGTTCTCCTTTCCTCAGGACATTGTATCCAAAGGATTTGATCATTGGTGCTGTCACACTCATTGTTGCCTTTGTGTTATTTGGCATTGCCCAGAGTAAAGAGCCAAGATTTGCACATCTGAAGAGTCAGTATCCCTCCCTGGTACCTATTGCTGTGGTTGCCTTAGCAATGCTTGTTATTTATGCCCTGGGATCCACACTGGTATTCATCGGGGGGGTGACATTGCCAATAGCAGGTAGGATTTCACTGACCCTTTGACCCCTAAGAGTGATTAGCATCTAATTTCTCCTTACAATATCACCCCTGAATGACAAATTGAAGTCATAAGAATAAAGGAAATGATCACCAACTAAAAAAGCTCTTGATTTTTAAACAAATTCTCCTTATCTGCATCTTATGAATTTATAGAGAACGGTGTGGAGAAAATCAGAAGACTTAAAGGAGTACTGAAAATAATTTTCATATCTCAAAGCTGCTTGAGCAGGATGTGCCAAAGATATCTTTTGGTGCATTACTTGGAGACAGCACTATCTATCAGGACTATCTTGAGGAACAGATTTTTTTTTTCCTCTGGGGAACATTGTTAGTTTTTAAAGAAACTACTATGCTGTGTGAGTTGGCAAGTGAATCACCAACAGAAATATCAATTGGCTAGGAGTTGACAAAGATAGATAGACATCTATAACAGGAAAACATTAGCTTTTCAGAATTCACTGTGGCTAGCTAACTCACTCTGTCAACTATAGCTTAAGCTAAGGAAGGGAACTAGAAATTTTTTAGAACATAAACCCTTTCAGAGGCCTTATATGGCTTAACCCTTTCTTCTACCCTGCAGTCATTATTCACACATGGAAACTCTCATTCAATTTCTTTCTTCTCTTTTGGCAGTAATTCTTCTTCATGCAGCAACAAGGAAGCGAAACATAAAAAACAAATTTGCCAATACAGTGGAGCTGTTTAAGGAAGATGTCACACCCATGACTATCTTGCTCTCAAAGATATGTTCCACCAAAGAAGAAAACAGATGAATGGGAAATTTACTATAATTTTTAAAAAAATTCACTTCTAGTACAGTGGTTTTTATATCAAAAAGGAATGTATCAAATTGGTATTTTTGATGCTAGTGGCATGAGTCATTTTTTGCATATGAACAGTTAGTAGTAAGCTGCAATTTACGAGAAAAACAGCAGTTTAAGGTGGATTACCCCTCCTTCAAAAATGAAAACTTTTTGCATTTGACCTGATCAGTCTTAGGAATGCCACATACAGACAGATACAAGATAGAAGGAGCCTGTAGGGGTACGTAACATAATTTGAAACAAGTAAAGTCATACTTTTAAAATCAGTTACAGAGTCAAATTATTTTAAAGTGCAGTCACAAAATATATCATCTAATTATACCCAGGTCTATTTTTTGATGTGTAAAAAAACGCGAATGGATTCAATATTTTGATTAATATTGAGAGATTTTCTCTAAACAATACGACTTGTCATAGAGAAGGTTAGCATCTGTTAGACTGGGAATCCAGAAAAAGTTGTCCATAAGCATTTAAGCCTGAAGTGTGAATTCGTTTCTCAGGCTTAACATTCAGCGGTTACTTTGTTTGCAGTTTAGTGGTTTGCCAATGGAGATAAATTTGTTTCTTATCGCTCGTTCGTCAATATCGTTTTTTCCTTTTCTTGCCTGTAACCTTTCAAACGCGTTGATTATCGTTAAGGCCACAATAGAGGAGAAGGGCCCAATATCGAGATAAGCAGATGAAATCTCAGTTTCACAGGCAACGAGCCTTGCAAAGCTCTTCCCTTCTTGCCCTAGTGTCTTAGCTTTGTAGTTATTGTAAAACGACGTAATCGCTACAATTAAGTAAAGCCCATTCTTGATTGGAAAAGATTGGTGTTCAGTGTTCATTTCAATGAGTACCTTTATCTGCATATTTCGCTGCGCACATTTTAATTTCAAAAGAGACCAGAAGTGAGTCTTGACGTGTATAGCTATAGCTCCAAAGAGTCTTGTGTCTCGGCCATAATCATACCCAGAGAACAAGAGAAGCTAGTAACCTGAATTGTGGGGGCCAGGAGCAAAGTTGGCACTCTGAAGCAATGGACACAGCTGAAGCATGTTTGTCAACTTTTCCTCCGTCCTTCCCCTTTCCCGGTCCGGTCGCATATCTCATTCGCTTTTTCATTTCCATGCATATTTTTCGCACATCTCCTAGTCTAGCAATCTACCAGCCCTAGTTCAACGGAGGGAATTGTTAAAGGTCGAGACGAAAAAAAAAAAAAAAACAAGACAAAACACTATTTGTTCACCAAGTTTGTTTTAATCTATAAGTGTAAGAAAACAACTGATAATTACTTTGGAACAATTGCATAGATTTTTGGAGTTGTTATGTTTCATTTTACTGCCAAGAAACAACTCATAAGTACCATTCCTGTCAACTTTATCAAGAACATTTGAAACAAAATTGACTTTCGTGAGTCATATGTCGCCTAACAGAACGCCAAGTAACGACATATGAAACTGCCTGTGACATTCAGTTTTGATTTTTTAAAAACTAAACTCTGTGTATACAATTCAAATGTTACAATATGAATATAGACCTCTGTCAGACGTTTCGCAGTTCCCGTTTGGTTTTTCACAGTCACTTAAAACGCTTATTATGGACACTTGGCAAAGAAGTCGTTCTGAGCAGCTACGAAAAGTAACGTTGGTCAAAGAAGAAATGTCCATTTTGACGCTCTCTTCACGGTATGTTGATAGGTTCTTGTTGTCGTTGGAGTTTTGCTTAGTTCATCAGATTTCTGATCTCCTTGTGCATCTGGCAAAGGAAGTCCACATAGCTATGAGCCACTGGGTTAACACCTTTGTCTTCCACCAAGAAATGTTTGAACCATCCTTCGAGCTTGTCGCGTTGTCGTACGACGGTTAACTGAAGAGACAAAGAAAAAAACAAAGGATTATTACATAATTCATGATTTATACCTCTTACAAACCACGATCGAGGACCGTACTGTAAGTTACGGACCGAGTTTTTCCGCTCGGATCCGAAAGGAAAAATAGAGAGTGAAGATTGCAATTCAAACACTCTTTTGAATTTAGCGGGTCGTACAATGTAATATGGCCTACCACATTTACCGCACGTACTAACTGAAAGTTATAATAAAGACTGAGATCAACCGGCGTTTTCTCAGGATTCGTTGCACTTCGTCCACAGTGACTTACAGACGTCCATCACGGATGAACTTTACGAACAAACGCAACAGTTACAATCGTACCTTGAGGTAATGCTGTCTCTGGTTCTGAATCAGTCGAATGATTTCATTTAAGCGAGTAGAGAGAGGATTATCAAGGACTGGAAGTGAAGTCTGGTGACAAAAATAGTAATACAACACTAATGAGGTTGAAATAGTTAGACTTAAGAATGTAGTATTAATCATAGCTTTAATCAAAATAATAACTGTAAAGTGGTCTCAAAATCTTGCCTTACTGACCGTGCATCGGAACTTTTTCTATTTCTGTTTACGTGCAAAACTGTGAATCCTCCCTACTTAAAATGCATCGAATCTTGTAAAAGAACCCGGTAAGCTATGGTTAGCTTATTTCTTCTTTTCTTTTCTCTTTTTTTTTTTTTAATTTTTGAAGCTTTTGATCTGATATTGTAAATCGTGCGATGCCATCACTTCATAATTATTGAACTATCAAATCATTGACCGTTGCTCACCTAAAGTCAAGAAACTTTAATTATTTACCATTTCAATGTCGACTTGTCCGATTGTTTGAACTCCAAAAACTTGGTGGAGCCAGTTGGGGTCAACTTGAAGTCCAATCCACAAAAACAGGGATATTCCATTTTCTATGTAAACATAAAACGGTTAACACATTAACGGTTTAAAAGGGGTTCCAATTTCCCCGCATGGAACCAGTTGGTCGTCTTTCCGTACCTTACAGTGGTTACACTTCTCTGGTTTTCATATCAAGTGCTGGACATTGGCTGCAAAGCTTTCAAAGGCTTCACACCTAAGTGCACGTTTTCCGGTACTTTATGATGGTTGCAATGTACATCAAGTTTACATCCAGTTGCAAATTCTCCCGCGCAACAGACTGACGAGCACTTCACTCGCCTTTGGCTTCATGTGCATGTTTTCCCGGAAAGGCCAACAGCAGTCGCATTCTTTACTTTATGATTCTGACAGCATTATTTTCGTTTGTACCAATCGCGACTGACCAAGAACAATACAAAAATGGGGGATAGGAATCTGTTCATCCCTCACGTCGAGTCAAGTCTGCGCGACCCGGCCCATACCTCCCTCGACTTTTAACCCTTGAACTCCCATTAGTGACTAAGACAGAATTTCTCCTCACTATATCAATACAATATCCAACAGACAAGTGATGGGAATAAATAAAAATATCACTTCAGGATTATTAGTTGATCCAATACCACATTCTCTTAACTAACATCATAAGAATTGTACAACAGACAGTAAGGAGAATTAATAATGAGATCTTGGGAATGAAAGGGTTAATCTTCCGCTTCCGTCGCGCCTTTTCCTATTTCGCGGCGTTTTACTGACTGAATGCCTAAAACAGGCTGGTAACCATGAATACTGGTGTACCATGTCGGCCATTACTTGGAAAATAACTCACCCAGCAGGTAAACACCATTCTCTGACATTCGATCAGCAGAACATCTGATCACTGCCGGTAGACCCGACGACTCCTCTTTCAGATCATGCTAAAGGAAAAAAAATCAAGTTTCAGAATTACAAAAATAACTATAAAAATAAATGAATTACTTTATATGAAAGCTACAACTTTAATTTCAGCTTGTTACGCGATGCTTATGCCCTTGAAAGTTAACGAAGAGGTTCGTTGTGTAAGGTGAGTAGAAGCACTTCGTTAACCGGTCGATAGCATAGCACGAGCAGGATTTTTCAATTAGGAGGAAGGGGTGGGGGTGAGAAAGAAGCAGAACGCTTTCTGCGTTCTGAGACAATAGATTCTTACCAATGCAAAAAGTCTTGGATAGAAGTAAGGTACAGATGCAGCCTGATCCATTGACATGACCGTTCTCATCAACCAACTACGGTCATCAGAACTCATCTCTGAACCTTTGAAGAAATAATAACATACGAATTGCTTTACATTTCGCTTCTGTTCTGTAAACTTTCAAAACAAATTTGCAGCATATGAAACTAATCATATCGATATCCTAGAGTAACAAATGACAACAAAAGCATCTTTTTACATAACAACACTGCATGTGTTTCAACTGCGGTCTTGAGACTGATGTTGTCCAATGGCTTTTGAGAAAGTTCAAATTCCAAGTACAACTCAACACCAGAAATTGTACGAAAAACAAAGAGCAAATTTTAACAATTTTACATGATAAAAACTTACCTCCTAGGAGAATGTCATTCTTTAAAATACAGTTCGTATAAAGCGGCAATAATTTCATACACTCTGGAAGTATCAACTGAAATAAACAAATTCAACTCGTTCAATAAGTAGGACGGCTATCGAAACAAAAATCGTACGAACAAAGTACGGCCAAAACTCATAATTACAACTGTTGGTCTGATGACGTGGCACAAACACATATCTAAATGCGTTTGAAGGAATAACAGCCAACTGACTGGCTGACTGACGAACTGCCTGTCTGCCTGAATGCCAGGTTTACCCATTTTCGTTCCTACTTCTTGAACTCGGTTAAAAGTGTAAAAACTATACCGTAATTCCACTAACAGAAAACGTACAAAACGAGTCCTACCTGACCAGCAGATGACGGTGAAGCACAGTTTCTTCTGTAACAGGCCAAGATCTGTGCACATTGATTCATCAGGTTTTCTCTGATCGCTTTGGGCGTCGACGTGTATACTTCTCTGATCGCTGGATGTAAGAAAGACAAATTCAATTCTTAATTGTGCGGAGAGCTGAAGGTAACTACAAGTAATGAAGCGAATCAATCGTTTGGTATTGTCACGCAGTGCAATCTCCTCTCTAACCCGAGAGGTGAACGCGTTGCGTGACAAGACCAAACAAGGCTTACGATGTTGGGGTAACTATTCCTGCAGGAGGAGAAAACCTTTTCTAACGACAATCTAAAGTTACTTTTTGCACCAGTCAGATTTCCACAAAATGCATGGTTTGATCATATTTCTTTGATTCAGGATGAACTGAATAAGATGTAATACATTAACCACCTTGTTTTGATGCAACATTGACGAAGGTATCCATCTCACAACAACGGAATAAATCTGATAACTGCGTACAGGTAGAGAAGGCCAAGTTGTGAATTCTTAAACGCCGCTGTCCACTGACAGATGTATAGAGTAACGCACACTGGAAATACGCCTGGCCCTCCTCGGGAAGTTTGTCATCGTGTTTGATTTCAATGGCAATCGCCTAGTAAAGAAAAATAAAAGGCACATAAAATCAACGTTGTCCACAGTTACAATCCAACACAAACTTTCGCTTGCACGAGTGGTTTAAACGCGCCGAGTGACTGAATATGCCCAGCTAAAATTGGGTAACATCCAGTGATATTTCTTCCGTGATATTCCACAACTTCCAAACATTAAATCCAGAGGGATGAAAGTCATCCTTTCAAAAGTTGATGCAAGTGTAAGTGTGCTTTGCTGTTGTTACAGAATAAGAGACGAACATGATTCTCGATTCAGTCAACGCCTGTTTTCGATGGTTCAGTTGTTTGTAAACGTTCCGCTTCGCTCGTTGCAAATGTTCTTGAAGAATAGTACACACATCAGCATCCAATCAGCTTGAAAATGTCCTAGTATATATTTGCTTGGACATTATCGATCCCTTCGGAACAGATAACGTCGACAAACAAATATCTGTGCATCTTTTCGCGCCGAATTCTTTTGTTCCTGTAACACAAGGTTCTCTTCTCGACTATTTTACAAGGAAATGTATCATGAATAGAAGTGAGAATCTCGAATAAGATCTGGCGAGTTTCAGGTATAACACAAGTTGACCGTACCTTGTGTGGATCGATGACAGCAAGCTCTACATCTGTCGTGTTGTTCATGTAACAGTTGCCCCAGAAATCAACCGGCCGAAGCCCTTACGAAGAAAATAAGCACATATTACAGTGATGTAGGTAAGAAGAGTGTTTCTAGACAAATATCCTCAATAACAAAATTGAAAAGAAAATTTAAAAAATTCCAACTTTAATCACCTGTGCTGCATCTCAGTCTCATGACAGCATCAAAACCAACATTACGTTCAAGGTTCCTCTTGAGATCTCCACGGAACTGTTCTCCGTGTGTCGCCTCCTGCAGAAAATTCAACAAACAACATATAAGCCAAAAGAAGATTTCAAACCCGGCGTTATCAGTTTTAACATTCTCACGACCTATCTTATACCTACACATTCCAAAGTGAAATTCAATCTTGCAGGAGGCTGACTAAATATATGTTTTTCTTAACATCGTTAGCCAGGTTGTTCGAAGGTTGATTTGCACCAGTCTATATATGACTGTCAAAGATTTAGCGAAGCGGGGGGAAAAAGAGAGAATGAACAAGTAAGGCCGGAGGAGGCGGGCTTGCTACATTTAACTGGGTGAATTAGTTGTTTTCAGGAAAAACTTGTAGGGGAGGGGGCTGAACTCGCGATGGAGTAAAACCTCCAGACACCGAAATAAATCCAGGAGGACTGATACCTGGCTTTCCAATGAAATGGCCGTGATACACCGTAAGGGTTCATTTATCTGTATCAAAGAGGGGGGTTAGGGATGATGTACGAGTTTTGTTGTTTTCTGTTTTCGACAACAAAAGATTGTGTCTCTCTCAAACTTTTGAAGCTCCCTGTTCTATGGCATTTTTTAATAACCTAAGCATTTTCCAAAAACGGTTTTTTTCTTATTTGTTTGTACGCCTTTGTCAAAAAGCATACAATATGCGTCAATACGTTGTAATAATTTGCGTAGACCGACGATTATTATAAAATGCCGCAGCTCTCAGTCGCCTTTGTTACAGAATGCTGTAATACCTATCACAAAATGCGCGAGTCATTACAAAATTCCGAAAACGTTGTTACAAAATACGTAGGTTATTACAAAATGCGTCGTTATGACAAAATGCCGCAGAACGCTCCCTTCACACTTTAACTCTTTGCAGCCTGGTAAGTCACTCGGGGTGTTCCTATTTAAAACTTCTCTTATTTTCCAACAAGAGTCTCGGCATCAAAACAGTCTTTCCTTTACTTTGAGGATGGAATACCTTGAAGTAGGAATATCTGTAGATCTGTCCGCCTGTAAGAGTAGCCACTGATCCAATCGTTGCAACGTCAATATAGGCATTGGGGAACAAAAACAGATCCACTCCCACGCCATTTGCAACACAGTCTTTGGCAAGTTTCTCATAAAAGGTGTTCTGAGGTGTAAGTATTGCCTGTAACAATAATCAAACAGTTTTAATCATAACAGCATTTCAAATTTTTATGATCAAAATTTCTTATTGAACTTCTGCATAAACTGTACCTCAAGTTGGTTAACAGTTTCCCTAACTAACTGTTCTTTGGATTTCGTGTTGTAGGTAGCCCTAAAGTCTTAAAGGGACTTGATTGCACTGACTAACCAAGCACTGAGATACACACAACCCTACAACGTAGCTTTTTAGCCTTGCACTGCATGAAGTTATGTAAGAGCTCAATACGGCCGATCAAACACTACTATTGTGTATCCTTCTCCAAAGAAAACTACAATTCACCACCGTTTAATACAAATTTACCCTACCTTCTCTTTTTCAGAGCCAAGAAGTTTTCTGTCCTCTCTGTTCTTTAATTTTCCAGGCGCCTCTGAAATGGGCAGAGATGAGTGGAAAACGAACAGTTTACCTGAAATACCAGCGGCCTGCGGAAACAAAAGAGAAATTAGAAAATTAAAAAAAAAAGAAAAGGAAAAATTATGTCATGCAAATCATAAAACAAAAACAAAATTAAACAAAAGTAAACAAAATACAAAAAAAAATGGAAAAGGAAAGGAATTAATCCTTTGACCACTTAGATGGGGGATCGCTATCAGTATCTGGGCAACTGCCCACCCACCCCTCCCCTAATTAAACAACAGTCAATTGACAACAAGTTAAGGTTAATGTTGGGTTAGGGGAGGGGTAGATGGGTAGTTGCCCAGCTACTGACATTGGTCTAAGATAGGTCAGCATCTAATTTCTCCTTACAATATCACCCCTAAATCCACTCATCAAGGTCTCGAGAATAAAGGAAACGATCAGCAACTAAAGAACCTCTTGATCGTTAAACAAATTCTCCTTGTCAGCACCATGAGAGATATATAGCAAACAGTATGGAGAATATGCACAACGATATTAGGGTGTAGAGGGTTAAAATAGGCAAGGGACCAAGCTCACAATAGTTTTGTGTAAAAATAAGAATTTAAAATGGTGATTGTCTTCACTGAATACCTTCAAAGCTTCCATTCCAGCTTGGATAACTGGACCTAACACTGTCTCTGTTTCCCTTGTTTCTCCAAACATTAAAGGAATTTGCACCAGAAGGCTGTTGGTAATGAATTATAACATTTAGATGTGAGTATTAAGTGCTCTTCAATTGAAATACTTACATTACAAGAAAGTCTAAGTCTATCCATTATAACTCCATGAATTAAAGATAACAGTACACAGTAATCAAAATAAATTAAAAATTCCCCAGAATACTTTTCAAAAAAAGTATTCTTGTGAATATGAAATTTGTTTTGACTCTGTCCATTAAATGTAATATTTACAACACCAGCTTGGAACAATATCATTGTTTACATATCAACACCGACCTAATATTTTGAGCACATACTTAAATGACAAAAATATTTCATTTCCTCATTTTAAAATGAGAAGATATCCAAATGTTGTATGTTTTCAATGTTTTGTTCCACAAGCATGCAGGTGAATACAACTGTCAGTAAATTTTTCTGGGCATTTGACAAATAAATTCCAGGAATTGCCTTGAGATTTCCAGAGTGGTACTCATGATAAGGTAATAATGGTTTAAAATCACACCTATCAATCACAGTCCTTGCTTCCTGAGGACTCACTAAAAAGCCATCAACTAGGGGCACAAATACATCTTCAATATCTGACACCACCATCATTTGCGGCTGTGCTAGGTTGCCCTATTAGGAACAGACAAAGGTTAAGTAATAGCATTTCCAATAATTTAGCAGTGATCATCTGTCATTTAAGGTATAGTGCTGTCATCTTTGACATCAAAGCAGTAAATAATGGTTCAATGTGTCAAGAGTTTGAGATACATGCATTGACTGCAGTAAACCACTCTATGATTCAAGGGTGCCTCCATGCACAAAAAATTGCCTACTTATGATAAATGATAACATGATCGCAAAGGAGATTAAATCACAGTGGAGTGCAAATAATCCCAAATTGTTTTAACTTTGGCTTACTTCACTGTGCAAAGGATCTACAAAGACTAGTGCCACTCTCTTAACCAATCCAAATTCTAACTTGGTCAACCTTATTTTAAAGCAGTTTTGGCTGTCTGATTATTTCTGTCACACTGGTAAGTCCTCATTACAGACTGTTCTCATAGGTTACTGTGACTTCTTTGGTTGTACATTTAAACAATCAAACAAAAAACACTCTAGCTGGGATTTGAGTACAGAGACTTAAATTGAGGTAAAATACAATAACGGTGACCTTTTCAAAGAGCAGTGACTCAAAATGTAGCATTCGTATACAGAACATTTTATTAAGTACACTTAATTTACCTTAACATTGTAGAAATGCAAATGATTGCTGTATGTTACAAATCCAACTCTGACTGATGAGGCTTCTTGGCCATGCTCTCTGTAAAGTAAAAAAAGAAAAAAATGGGTGAACTCTTGATAATCCAATTTAGAGATCAAAAGGAGAAAGACTCACTTGGGTAAGACATCCAAGACCTCTTTAAGTTCTTTCATGAGCATTCTAACCATCCCACACTGCATACTTTGATATGACACATCAATCATGAATACATATGCAGGAGCACCAGGCATCTTTTGATCCTGTCCACAATGAAAGAACAATTATAGCCACAAATTGAAAACAACTCATGACTAGCACAGAAAGATAAGTCTTTTTCGAACTGTACATGCATTTGCTTCCCTGGTTTTATACTGAATAGGGGTTATACATTACAGCTCAGAGGTAGATGGCCAACACATGCAAAACCTTTGCACTTTTTTCGTGTTCTGCACAAAAAAAAAAAAGCGCATGTCTTGAGTGCATTTTTGCTTTTGTTTTTCAACACAGTCAGCTTGCTTTGTTCTGCATTAGTTCAGAAAACCGAAGTTCCCATTTCAAAATGCTGCTGCAGAAGCATCAAATCAACATTTGCATATCTCAACATCTAAAGGATGCAATGGCTATGGTTGAAAACGACTTGTCAAAGACACATTGAAACAACTTGTCATAATTCCACTAGTATTTCATAAAATATGTTTGTGAAAGCTTTTACCATGAGGAAATGTTATGATAACTGCTATAAGGCGGCATCACAGGAAGGAGTAAGAAAGTTGATAACTTTTAACAGTTACCTTACAATAATCTTTAGTGGCTACAAATTCATAGGATCCAAGATGAAGTTCAGGTCTTTCATAGACATCGAGTCTCATTCCCTGGTGGTCTAGATGACAGAAGTATTCTGCTGGAACTAAAATATAAAAGTAATCAAATTGTAACTGACTCTTCAGGAAGTAAACTTCTGTTTTCATAATAAATTACAATTTGAATGTAGGTTTTACCTCAAATAGAATTATAATGAACAAAACATACAAACAAACAAAAATTTATATCTCAACTTCAGAAACATGAGTGCATTGTCACCTAAAGTCTGTCACCATGCAAAAATGATAAAATATTGTGTTTCTGCTGCCAACATATTGCTCTGTGGTAAGAAAATTCATTCATGTAAATCTGCGACTCCCAAAATTATTTTTGGGAGATAACTTGAAATCAGATTAGCATTAAGACATGTATTGACAAAAACCTCGTCACACTACCTTCTGATGAGTAGGAACAGATATTGCACATAAATCTTCTTCCACCATCAACAAATTGTACGAAGGGGTTCATGTATGCCTTACATCGATTACATCGCACAGGTCCTGTGGGGCTGTAGTCCATGATGCGAAGGGATTGCTGTGGAAAGATCAAACAGTTAATACAGTGCCACCCTTTTTAAGCGTTGTTTCACCAATTTTTTTTCTTGCTAAAGATTATAAAACTACCACTAACCTCTGAAGGGCCTGGTTCAGCAAATGGGGTTATAACTGTTGCCAAGGGTATGCTAGAGGCTTGCAGTAAATCTTTGTTACATGGTATATTATACATAGTACTCCTCATGAAACGAGGACTGCAGTTTCCTGAAAAATAAACACAACTAATTACTCAAAGCAGTTGAGATCTAATTTTAGACCACAAAACTTCCTCTCTAACTTACTTACCATATAGGATTATGTACAGTACTGTATTTCTCAGTCTTAAAGTAAGTATCCACTGTGAGCAGTATCAAAATAAATTTTTGTATGAAAGGTACAGCATCCACAAGGAAAAAATGTATGAACTCCATATTTTTTTTTTTGTAACCATATGCCTTTAAGCTATACTATAGGTCAGGGGCCTTTATCAACTTGTAGCAAGAGCTGTGGACTAGTTTTGAGACATTATGGGATTTCAGTGGACATATGGTTAGGAGGTTTATGGCTAATTTAAACAACTGTATATTCCATAATGTGTAAATCATAATTAGGAAACGCCAGCAGCATTTACAACAAATTGATTCATGTATCAAAGGATGATAAATAAATGACCACCTACCATCATCCTGTACAACAAAGTTGCTGGTAACCAGTGGAGGAGTTCTACCTCTTGTACTTGTGAGGTATGGTGAGTCTTTGTATGCATCGTTGTCATCTTTCATCACTTGGATCTGTAACATAAATTAATAGCATTACAATGCAAAACTTTCATATTCGATTTTGCAGTCAAAGTGACAAGGGATCATTCTATAATATTGCCTGTAGCTCTAAGGGAATTTCTAGTGAGCTGTGTTCAGACATCAATATTACTGCTGTTCTAGCTAACCCATGCTGATTTCTGAACTTTACACTCATGTTCTGCACAATACATACAATGGCCTTACAACAGCACAGGAGACACTTACTGGGCTGGGCATCTGATCAGGATCAATTCTTCTCTGTTGCTGCATTGGAGCATTCATTGGTGTAGGATGTCCCATTCCATGCTGCCCTGGACCTGTTGGTGGCATTCCTCCCATAGTTGGTGCCCCAGGATACATTGACTGGCCCTAGTATAGAGAGACACATCCAATTAACATTTTAAGTCCATGCACTGAGGTTAATAACATTGAACCATGTTACTAACAAATCCTGGTTTCATATATTCAAAGAAGGATGGTGTTGTCAGTCGAGCAACAGATTGTTCATTCTGTTTTTGGAACCCATTTATTCAGTCATCATTACAAGACCTTTCAACAACCAGTGACAATGACTTGCAGAAGGAAGCAACAGTATCTCCACAAGATTTCTAAAATCTTCTTTTGCATGCATCCATCGGGCAAATTCAGACTAGAACACCACCTAAACTCACTGTATGTGATGCCATTCCTGTAGTTCCACCTGATGGCTGATTCTGCACAGGACTCTGAGAAGGTGCATGACCTGGGTACATGCGCCGACCACTATGCAAGGCACTATGTGACATCCCAGCACCAGAAGACCCACTAGGAGGTGCAGCCTGGCTGAGCGTTGGTCCTGACAAGCTTGTCAGTCCAGCACTTCCAGAACCACTAAAAGAAGGACCTGACATACTAACCTGGGGACCAGGGTATGAACCTGGCATTGGCTGCATTTGCGTGGCATTGTGTCTACCCATCGGGGGTTGGGTCATGCCTCCCATAGGAGGTGCACCTGAAGAGGTTTGAGGGGGGAAACCAGGCTGGGTCATTGGTGGCATACTGGGCATTGTTGGAGGGCCAGGAGGTCGATTTGTGGGTTGTTGCATCTGGGAACCCAAGTATGATGGCTGAGGGGCTGTTGTTGGTGTTCCACCAAATGGTACTTGCTAAGAAATCAAAGGAAATAAAACTACATTTTAGATCCTCCTAAATACTTGAAAGACATGAAACATGTACTTTGGGTCCAAATTATGGGTCAAGTCTTTTGTTTCAACCCTATGACTTCTCAATCTTGAATTGTTTTCTCCCAGTCTAACATAAAACTAACCCAAAAATGAGTACTAGTGGTTACGACTTTCATGTTCTGGAAACTTTGAGCAAACAATCAAAAACCATAAGGTTAAGTGGTAAAGGGAAAACCAGAGTCTGTCAATAGTGCTGAATGATAATAATTTGGGCAAGTCAACTATACTAAAGGTCACATTATGTCGGTTCATTCAACAGACTTTCCATGCAGCTGTCTTTCAGACAAAAGAATGTCTAGTCTTCATACTAACCGTGGTACTTGGCTGGGGAGGCCAGCTTCCTAAGTTTGCTTGTTGAGATGATGATGGTTGGCTTTGGGAACTAGTGATATTCAAGTTGCTCATTTGCTGAGTCATCTAAAAAAAAAATCTAACATGTAACAGATGCCATTAAGCCTCAACTCTCTAACATCAGTACAAACATTCTCCATCCTACTCCCTAGACATCTCCAAGGGTTCTGACAAGGAGAACTTATTCAACAATGAAGAGCTGCTTTAGTTGCTGATCATCTTCTTTATTCTCATGACGTTAAGGATTGATTCAGGGGTGATGTTTAAAGGAGAAATTAGATGTTAGTCACTCTTAGGGGCTAAGGGGTTTAATCTTGACAACTCCAGTTCTTCAAATGACACTAACAGCATTTTTTTGTTCTTTATCATTTGTTAGCCAAATGCATGCTTTTTGCACTTGGCCACAATTAAAAGGACAAAGTGTCCTTGACCTGACTGTTAACAAGATACGCAAAGATAAATTGAGATTTAAAACAGTCGATCTGTGATTGGGAACCACACCTGTTGATGCTGATGTCCAGAAGTATGTCCTTGTGGCAGAGGTGGATACCGCTGAGCTGGATTTCCTCCACCTGGCCTTGGTGGCTGTTGCCCTTGAGTGGGTGCCATTGGTCTTAAAGGCTGAGGGGGCATTCCAGGTCTCTGAGGCTGTTGATAAGGAGAGGGACCCCCTGGTTGTGATTGTGTCTGCTGGTATGGGAAGCCTCCAGGTCTCTGTGGCTGCTGCTGTTGTGGGGGTCTTGACTGTGGTTGTTGTTGCTGAGGTAACTCTCCAGGCTTAGGGGGCTGTTGATGCTGGGAAACAGGAGGGAACTGTTGCTTCTGTTGATCAGGAGGGGTAGGTGAAGAATTAATTGGCTGGTGAGGAGAGGGTGAAAGTCGCTGATTTGGTTGTTGCATAGGGGAACCTTGAAACTGGTCACCAGCCTGAATATTAAAAAATATTGAAAAGAGAGTTAACAGGGATATCAACATATATAGATAAAGCTGCAGTGAGCTCTTTCTCATAGGGAATTAACCCTTTAAATCCCAAGAGTGACTTAAAAGTAATTTCTCTCTTAACATCTATACATTATTTAGCAAACAGGTAATGAGAACACTTAAACTTATCAGGTAGAAGTTCTTATCTCATTTACAAGAAAGTGTGTAGCGGCTAGAGGGGAGAATTAATAATCAGATCTTGGGAGTTAAAGGGCAAAACCACTGAAGGACTTGAATTTTACACCAGTCTGAAGTTTTACCATAATGTATTTGAAACTTTTCTCTGCTTAATGAATGAGAAAAAGCAGACTTTTTAAATAAGTATTAACGGGGCTGATTTTGTTGGCCCAGATGTCCTTTATGATCAAAGCCAACCAGAGCATGTCAGCCTTGTGCACTGAGATTTTAATGAACATTAGATTCAATAAAAGACAGCTTTGAAGTTTCATGACAAATAGCCCAGGCCAGTCATTTAAAATTATGGTTTTACCATATAAGCATATTGGCAAACTGAGCTGAGAATTGCTTTGGACAAAACTTAGTGTTTCAGTGTGTCAAAAGTGGATGCAAATCAGGATTTCCTGAATAAGATAATATGAGAAAAAATGATAAAAATAAAAATAATAAGCTAAATATAAGTGTTCAGTCACAGAAAACAAAGAAGTTTGTTTGATTACTACCATCAATTATCAGACTGTGCATACTACTCATCATTAATTTCAGACAGGAAATATCAATAAATTTGTATTATTTGAAATCTGTATTATGTATCACGTTAGGCTGCATCGTGTATCATTTGGTATTTTAGTTTTTATAAACAAAAAAATGTTCAACATTAGATACTGTTACAATATTGTCTTAATGAATTTACAGTTTCCAGCTTATGTAAATTCTAGAAATGTAATGGAATGAAGTATGCTCATATCCCATGAAATGTAACAAATAAAATTTGGCGAGGAAAACCTTGAGAAAATTTCGACCAAAGGAAAAGGACACTATTAAAATCAACCGAGATTGGATACAAGCTTCACCATGATGGGAAACATTGACAATTTGATCCCGTTAGTTTTCCGAGAAACATGTGAGTGACAGTTCGCGGACTGAAGTTTTCTAAATGTTGTTGATAAGTACGTGTACACACGCGACCAACAGCCGGCTTCACTAGAAACGAAATACGAAGGGCAAGTTTCCGCACTGAACTTCAAAGGTGTCGTAATGGCTCAAAACTTTTATACCATTACCTTAGGAGGAAGTGGCTGCTTTGGTTGTTGATAATAACCGGGATGATATCGATTGGGATCCTGTTGGGAACTCACACCATTCATCTGGACTTGTTGAGGGCCATTCGCCATTGCGTTAGATGGACCTTGATGAGGAGGAAAACTGCCTGCATTTGCCATAAAATTATCTCCCACACCCTTTGCTGGCCCATCGAATGGCATATTCCTGTGTTTATAGCAAACAGCAATAAGCGATCGGATTTTCACAAAAATATTTTTTGAAGTCTCAAACATTCGTCGATTCATACCTTTGACCTGTCATAGGAGGACGTTGATTCATCATTTCTTACGCGCCGTATAAAACGTTTTACGCAGATATGACTTCACCAAATTAAAGGAATGGCCTCTTGGAGGCAGTACAAGTACTAAATTTTACAATTAAGTGCACAAACTTTTTTTCACAAGGCGAAACGTTCCACTAGTTTCGCATCTCAGTACAAGACATTATATGCCACGTAGAAAAGTAGATACCCTGTTTCCAACTTCCCGGATGACCAGCCGGCGCATTGTCATATGGGTATTTTCATGTAGCGCCAACTCAAATTTCTTACGTGGCTTTTGGAACGCTGGCGTATAGTTACAATGCAAAAAATAAACCGGAATAAACGCATACCTAAGAGTTTTGATCTCCTCGATTTTTTCTTACAACGTTCATTTTCCCTTCGATAATAGATTCGCTTGTCGCCGCGAAAATGAAAATGAAATTGATAGAGAAGAATGACAGCAAAAAATTGTTCTATTTAATATATTTTTAAAGACTTGAACAAAATTAGAACTTCTCGTGAGTTTCAAGTTTTGTGGACGAGAAAAAGTAACATATACGTTTACAGAGCTTTAGAATCGTAAAATTGAAAATTAAAATTTAATTTTAGAAGCGCCCGCATTATTTTTTTGCGTGACACAAAAAAAAAAAAAACGTGAAAAGGCCTGTCCGTGTAAAGAAGGTCGTCCAGTGCGTCTGAATAGACCTTGCCCATGTACCCATAAATTTCATTTCTTTTAAATTTTATTTCAACATGCATGTCGACATCTACTTTTATTTCGAACATTTCTAAAGGACTGCTTCATCAACATTTATCATGTCATACAGGAAGAAGATGAGAGAATGTTTTTTTGCTTAGATCTAATTTCGACTGATTGGTTATAAGGAGAGCCCCGCGATATGGGAGACGGATCTGCATTAATATCACACATAGTTCACGGAAAGAACATACGCATCAGCGTGCTAGTGAACTCAAGGCTAAATCTCTGCCTTATCTCTTCAAGAAATCCATTTCTGTCCCCGTTATAATCTACTTGGATCGATTCTAATTTTGTGTGTTCTAAAAATTAAAACGGCAACAAATAGTTAGATATAGCCACCCTTTACTCCTTTATGAACCAGCACAAGGCTCTTTTATTTTATGTTCCAACCTCTGGTATAAAAGATCGATTCTTTAGTCATTGAGATACTTTTTCTTCCTTCTGAAGGCACGAGTCGATCACTAGCTCCAATACTTAACCCACCAAAGAACTTTAACAAAACACACGCGAAGTACCCACACATTACCAGCTAATGTCAAGGCTTTTCTGTTTATCGGGTGCCCCGCCTGAAGGCAGGGCGACGAAAAATTGAATTAGAGACTCATTCGAGTGTTCTCCTCCACGGAAATCTTTAGTAAAAGGCGAAAGATTTGTGCGTAATGAGGGAAAACCAGAGTTACCATGACAAATTTGAGATGACTGAATGAATGACCGGGCAGACTCGAGGCATGTGGGACGAATAAGGTGGAAACAAAGCACGCAAGTCAAAAGATTCGTTTTCGAATGAGAAGTTTTACAACGGTTCCAATAGTTCTCGAGGTTTTTCTTTTTCCAATCACCATACGAAAATTTATTATCATCTGCGATTGATACGTTTCTTAATCGTCTTCAGTGCTACAGAAACCGTCGATTGAAACTATGGAGAGGACATGCACTTGTACCTTTGACATGCGCGATAACAACTGTCTTGAACTTATAGAAAGGGTCTTTTACAAGGAGACTAAGGCGAAAGCAAGGCTTGTCATGTGACTCCCGCTCCGTTTCTTTTCTTTGAAAATTGTGTTTATCACTTTTACGTCGTGCATGTTGAACGAAAAGGAAGAGTTGTATGAGATTCGAATTTGATGCTGTCGGAAGTTTTATTAGATTGAGGTCGACTTGCTCCAACAAACTTGGTGCTGTTTACGAAATGTCATCATCTGATACAAAAGTTTATGACAATCGTTACGAAAAAGGTTTGTAACAAACTTTTCGAGGTTGTTATCTGCACAAGGCTTTGTTCAGCGTGATAACCTATTTCCTTATACTCCGAAAAATAACCCGTAGAAATGTTTAATCTACTTCTATCATTAATCCTGTGAACCAGCCGGGTTAAAAGAGTGATTCTCAGAAATTTGAAACTGTATCATCAGAATGTCAAGTGTTAGGAGCAGCCAGAAAGTCCACGATATTTGGAATCATGTCATATAACCAACGGGCATCGACCACGTAATCCTGCTATCCCACGGCTTTTGTTTTCTTCATTATTGCCCTGCTGAGCTCTTAGCAGGACTGCAAAAATTGCAAAGCTCAATTTCTGAGCTTGATGGGTTACTACTAGAAGCATGTGCTATCGCACATGCTTCCATTTAAGTTAACTACTCTACTTAGATTTAGCCAAGCCAAGAAAATATAAGGACGAGACTATATATAAACTCTTATCAACCACCGAGGTTGTGGGATAATTAATAGTTCACATCTTTAAATCTATGTGTACGCGTGCGTATAAGAAACTCATATACTCCTCAGTAAAGGAAATTCAGGAAAATCGAAGTACACATTTTTTTCTTTGAGGGAGAACTGACCCAATTCACTGCTACGAGTATGATGACAGAATCGCCGTATACTGCGTACATGGGCTACTGCTAATAATCTTTTGTCTTAATATTGCACATGCGCCCAAGAGACCCAGGTCGACTCCTCTTTAATTTCTAACGTTCCACGAATTTGCCATATACGTGTAGCTTGGAAAGGAAAAATGCAACTACAGAAGTTTAGGTCCTAAAGACCTACTGGATAAGGAATTAATGAAAAAGTTACCACTACAGTCTCTAGACACAAGAAACCAGATCACTTGGATTCACACAAGGCACTTTATTTGTTTATTTATTTATGTGGGTGAGATGCGAATATCACTTTTAATCTTTGCAAAACGAACCTTCCATTAACCAGTATCGAAATACAATAAAGGCAGATAATATTGAAATTTAAGTATCTACTGCAACGACCCTAGTCACAATTTGCAAAGTGAAATACTGTATGAGAAATTATACCATCTTCTAACCAAGCGAATATTCATAATGCAGAGTACCTTCCAGTACTCTTCACCAAGCCTTTCTTTCACAGTCTTTCTTATTGCTGCCTCTCTCATGCCACCAGGCATTGCACCACTTTCAAGGGAGCCTGGCCATTCACCTCAAACACATAAAAACAAGGAAAGACAGTGAAGAGGAAACACACCCTACAACCCTGCTTTGAAAAGGAAGTTGGCCATAAAATTTAATAAAATAGAAAAGGAAGAAAAACTTTACAAGTCCATGTATAGCCACGAGGTCAGCCGCCAATTTTTTTGTACAGTTGAGCCTGGTTAATGGGATGGCAAAATTATCTCTGCTGATAAAATTTTAATGTCTCACTAAAATAGCAAATCTTTTGAGCAGTTTTCCTAAATGGAAATTTCTGACATTTGCCTAGTCTGAAATGAATAAAAGTGGAGCATCCCAAAATATTGAAAGGACTCAATGAAAAATACAAATAAAATAAGCAGGTATTTTAAGATCATCTTTGGGAGAAATCTTTGAATCCTTTCTTCACACAATAAACGTCCAAAAGGTAAGTGGACAAGGAGATATCTCTCAATTGGAGCAGAAAATACATTTATTGTAGCTTATTGTAAGAAATTTAACCATCAAAGTTCTAGTTTGATGGCCCCTGTTGTTGCTGTTGCTGCTACTGTCCTTTTGAGATTAATCTTTAACTTACAAGAGTACAAATAAGCTAATACAAGGTGAAATTTCATTTTTCAATCACAAAATAAACAGAATTCAAGAGAGAAAAAAACTTCCATTCTTAGGCTGGATATTAAGTACAGTGGTAATTTTATGGGATAGTTGATACAGTGCAGAATGGCTTGTTTAAAACAGGAGAGTTCCCATGCCTCCCATTTCGCTTTGCTCTTTAACGAAGATTTCAAAGTATTGGTAAATGATGGTGACAGCCAACAGAATACCTGTTCCTGAGCCAATGGCACCTATGAAGAAACAAACAGAAATGTTACATGCGTAAGAATTCATTTAATTTTGGCTCCTGTTCATATCACCTTGATCTACTTGATCTATCACCTTGATCTATCATCTTCCTCTTAATTCCATTCTTTACACCTCACTTTAGCAAGGAGCAGGGGCTTTTTTTTTCTCAAACAGTTGCAGCTTATCAAGACTACTGATCATATAATGACAAAAAATCCTAAGAGCAGCTTGTGAAAATTTTTGAAAAAGTGCCCAAATCTTTGACAGACAAGCAAAGCTCTGTGCTTTCTCCCTGGTTTCCAATCCATTTTTTGAGAAACAAACAGATTCTTAGAAAGTTTGTTTCCTTTTTTGACAAAGGTCAGCCATTCACAACTTGGAAAATAGGACTACTGTACATTTAGTTACAGCTGAACTTAACCCCTTCTCCTTTTCAAGTTTTGCTGAAGTCCATGAAGTGAAGCATCATGAAATCAGAGGGTCAGTGACTCAAATCCTTATACGAGATTCAGATGCGTTTACTTATGCCACAATCATGGCACTGAAATGCTGAATATCTTTCTTGAGTTTTTCAAGCTGTTTAGTACATGAAAACTCAATGCTTACCCATGAAATCAGCCAAGACTGAAAGGGCACCAATACAAAGTCCACCAAAAGCTGCAGCTGTAGGGATATACCTGGAAGGTAAGAGATCCATTTAAAATTCAATTTAATTTTTTATTTCAAAATTATAGTACTGTGTAAGAAACTATTTATTGAATGAATTATCCATACATTACATATTGGTTACATATCTTCCACATGGACAAGGAATATATGAAAGCTTTGTAAAAGCCAATTCTAAACTTTATGATCATTGCTTACCTGTTGAGTTCATGGACCATGGATTTATCGCGGTGTCCACGCATCACCATTTGCTGTTCCTTCAGCTGTTTGGCAACCTTGGTTTGGGGATAAAAGTTAAAACATCCATCAATTGATTGGAACTTAAATACAGCGATCCAAGTTGCAACCATTTTGGTCACCATGGCGAGTGAAAAATATAATTGGTGACTAAAATTTAGACCAAAGTCACCATATTGGCAATCAACAGATTTAAAAAAGGAAAAAAAAAACATTTTTACATTGTCTCTGCTTACAGACATTAGAGCCTCATCATCT